TTCCTGCTCCTAACATGGACACATCAAACACTCGGCAGATAGACCCCCGGTCATCATTCTCCATCTCTCTTTCTTCCTCTCCCTCTATCCTCTGCCAGGGTCATTCCCAACATACCTGTATTTCAGCGGTCTCTCTTGTGGAGCTGCATCACAGGGCTCATTACCAAGACATTAAAACCCCACAAAGACTCATGCTGAACTCCTGCCATCCAACATCAGAAACAAAGACATGCTGCTATTTTAAGCAAAAATCATTTGTGCATAACATAGGCTATTTACTGTCCATTTTTGAGGGGGAAGCTACCCATTTTAAAGTCATGGATTGACTAACTGTTAAAGTATTATTATCTAACTATACAAAAGGTAACCCTTATCTGTTTTATTCTCCATACCTGATTTAGGTGTTTAACCAGGAATCATCCTTAATTTCACTTTTTAATATGAAAGGCTGTACTGTTCAAATGGCTATCCTCCAACTGTTAATGAACAACCGCTACAGTCCACAATCTGAGTACAAGACAGTATCCTACAAAGCACTGAAAACACAGCTGGTCTATCTGACACATTACTGCCCTGCTTCTTTAGCCCATGATTTCTGCACATATGCAATACTACTGCAGGCGCAACAGATTATTTTTAACTGGCCCAGTTGGGCCAGTAGTTCTGTACATTACTTTATCTAGCCACAAATATAATCAATAATAATAGCAGTAAGAAAAATATAATGACATTTGCAAGTTAGCAACATTTTTGCAAGCATCATCAAAAAAAAAATTTTCGTTGCAATTTTACATTTTCTTTTCGTTTTACAAAAAAAGCTATAATGTAACTCCATGATATTCATTCTTAAACACACCTTTTCTAGAAACAATGGCATGAGTTTTTTTTAAATTATATATATATATATATATATATATTCGTATTTACATATTTAACTTATAGATTTAATGAATAAGAAATTATAAATTTTATTCAGCAAGGACATATTACATTTTTCAAAAGTGAAAGTAAAGACATTTATAATATTAAAAAAGATTCCTACTTCCTATTTTGAAGGACCATGTGACAATTAAGACTGGAGTTATGGCTGCTGAAAATTCAGCACTGCCATCAGATGAATACATTTTGAAATATATTACATTTGTATAATATATTAATGTATTAATATTTCACAGTATTACTGTTTTACTGTATTTTTTATTAAATAAATTGAGCCAACTATAGTGATCATAAGATATTTCTTTAAAAAAAAAAAA